ATACTAAAATACCAAAGTGATTTAAATTAACCCTTTTAATTTAACGCGAAACGTACATTATGCTAGCTGTGGCCGGATAGCTAAATGTTACGTGATCGCTTTTATCTATTTATTTAAAAAAAAAAACTTTATAACGTGATGAATTTGTGCAATAAACTACGATACATATCAATTTGGGCTGAGTAGATCAAAATTAGTAATACGGGAGCGAGCAAATTGTGATAAGAGAAAAAGAAAACGGATGGGTTTTTTAAAGAGTCGTGTAAGTTAGTGTTATACACTGAATATAAAATCTTTTACATGCCTTATTGTAGTTATGCAATTTAATGAAAAGACATAATATCATAAAACTACATTATATAGTAAAAAAGGCAATCAAAATTTGCTAATCAATTGGAAATTAAACTATTAACGCTGCAAAAATCTAAATTCTTGACAAAGTTAAGCACAATTGTTTTTTTATTTAAAATTATACCTTAAATAATGTAAAACTTGTAATATTTTTTATCATTTACTCCTTACCTTTGTAATGTATTGTATCTACATGACCTATTTAAGCTTTTGCGCATTTACCTTGTTGACTATTATAATATAAATAATTTGTAATTCTATACTTGTAAGCACTTGGTGTTCGATGGAAAATCGATTTCAAATGTTCTTATATGTCATATTCATATTCCACTTAACGCTACCTCTTTTTAGTATTATTTAGCTTTTTTGTGCAACAGTCCTGTTATTATGGAGCCTCTAAATGTTCGATTTTGTGTAGATTAGAGATATAGATAAATAAGTGTTAGAGTATATTATTGAATAAAATATGTTGTTATCTTTAGTGTTCAATGCTCGATTGCGGAAAATCTATAGCTATATCGAGTTTCATTTTTATTTACATTATTTTCGATTTCCAGCTTTTATTGTTATATTGAATTTTTTCAACTTGATTGCTCATGTGTACAATTTTAATTTCTTTAGAAAGAAATAGTACTTTATTATATTAGAATAATAAATGTGACTTTAAACGTCATTTGCTGATGTTTAACTTTAGTATAATTTTGAATAGTTTCATGAGTTATTTTTTAAATATGCTATCATGTTGAAATGTTTTCATTATACATTGCTATTCATTTACTTAAGGCTCTTTCATTAACATCTTAAGTGTTGAAATGTAAGAGAAATAGAACTTATTCAAGTGATAAATTGAAACATAAAACATATCCCTTTAGTCTGATGTAAGTCGTATATAAGTATATTGTTGTTAAAATATATATTACATGTATAACGTGAGTAAGCACGTCGATGTTTTCGCTAATATTTCAGATTTCAATTTACGATATTTATTATATAACTTTTATGTATTATATAATCGTATAATAATGTAGAATTAAATGTTTCACGTGTGAAAGACGCGAAATTGGATATTGCCTTTGTAGGTTATATTCATTTTCACACGTTGAACTCATTTATATATTTCTATGTACTATTTTCATCTTAGTAAACAATTTTACAATACATTATTTTTAAACACTTTTATTAAGATTTCGTAGGTAAGATTTTTTTAACTAATTATTTATTAATATAAAGTTTGTTTTAATCTTTATCAATCAAATATATGATTGTTATACAAAAACAGCTGATTGTTGAATTTTTAAATATTTAATTTTTCTTTTTGGATATCAGAGTCGAAGAAACCTGATTAGTTAAGATCAACTTTAATACTAAGATATTTACTATTCTATATTTGTCGATGTTATAAATGTTGTTCTGCTTATATTTAAAACTATATTTCTGTCTAAGATCTGATGCAAGATATCAAGGAACAGTTGATAAACAAACGCAATACTTCAAAAATCTAAACTCATGTATCTGATTAAGGTAGCGCATTTGAAAATTTCCTATGCAGTCTATGGGGTTTTACTTCGTTACTTCAATATACTATTGTAATAGTTAATTAAATTCTATATTTCTCTTATATCTACGATAAAAAGGAAGGCGATACCATCAAGTGATCCAAGGAACCAATTTCAAACATATCGATATCGTGAGAGAAAAGTATTGTTAACAAATGAGCAGATTTTTTTGCTCCGATTTTCAAAATTTGCATATCAGTAGAGTAGTTTGTTAAACGCATATATTTGTTGTTGTACTAAATATACATTTATGATATTTGTTAATGTGGTTAATCAATTTATAGCAAAAAATTATTATTATGTCATGTATAATTCAATTTCGTGTAAAAATATGACTCTAAAACATAAATATTGGTGTATTTCCTTAATATTCTGAAATCTAGATGTTTCAAATGTTAATAAAGTTAAATAGTTTAGAGTCACATTTATTATAATTATGTAGCTCTGAATCTAATAATACATTTCTGGTGTAAAGACGTATTAAATTTTGATTTAAAATAAAAATGAAAATGGATAAAGTATTGAGTTTCTTTTTGTTAACTTACCCATATTCCGTTTTGTAAGGAATGTAGTTGTCGGAGCGACGGTTGATTTGTAGAATTAATTCCAAAGGCAGATCATATACACGGTAACTATACTCAATTGTGAGCGTGCGTATGTCGGAGATAATGAATTAACAGAAACACCATCCTTAATTGACCACCATCTTAAATAAAAACTGCACAACACAATCTAATCGGATAGCAAAAATTTATAGAGATAAACCAAATGATTTTATAATCGCACGTAACGCTTTTTCCGCCATTAAATGACAACTGTCATCAGTCAATCGATCGTCGCCTTGACAGCTATCATGCGGCGCACATTCAGCCAGTACTCAAAATTATTAATGGCCAGTTAAATTAATCGTTCAAAAAGTATCAATAATTTCGATCCGTTATCGTTATACCCATAGAAGTGATCTCTAAGAATATGTAGGAATGTACAAGAATGGTTTTAAAGGCGTACACGTAAAAGTGCCTTTTATATACTAAGGGTTGAAGCTTAATATACAAGCGTACGGAAAATTAGAATATCGAATCTCTAAATAGAGTTAAAAGTAAAGCCTGCTACACACGCTCAGATTTATCTGAAAAGTTAGATTGTTTAAAATAAATCTAACGTATGTTGGCAAAATTGAGAACTGTTCAGTTCGAATGACGGAATGAAATCTAATGAAATTTTTCGGATATAACTGAGCGTGTGTAACAGGCTTAAATGTTTCACGAAAATAAGTGAATAACGAATTATGATAGACCTTCCTTTAAAGAAGCCCGGGCAGAGTTGACCGGATAAAATTAATTAATCAGGTTAGAATTACATACTCTATTTCAAAAGCAAGGGCCCGGGAAACCCTTTTTAATAAATCAAATTACTCAAAAGCCAAGCAATCTAAATCTGTCGAATAAACAATGAAAATTTTAAATTAAATACGAGAAATTTGATATAAACATCTGAGAGTTTTAAACTTTACTACATAAATGAGTAATTAATTTCCAAAATTTAAGTTATCTAATCATACTATTTGTCGTGTTTTTGTAAGTATCTAAATAACTCAAAAACTCCTGGACTTAAACTAAAAATTCTTGCACCATTGAAAATCTACATTATCAACTGTAAAATAACGCCAGTAACATAGGCTATGCTTTTTTTAATTCTACGCAGACGAAGTCGCAACATTTAGTTAATCATAAAACTAATTTCAAAGTAAAGGTTTAGTACCTAATAAAAAAATAGTGTTATTTAACCGATTTTATGAACGCATCAGTAGTTTATCATGTGAGCTAACTACAATAATCTCCGTGTGCGATAAACATCGATTAACGTAATAAAAATTACTCTACTCGACTTCTAACTGCAATCTTAAACTTAGCTCATAAACTTTCTTTTATGGGTAGAAATAATTCCATTCTCAACTTTTAACACCCTATAAAAGATACAAGATTGTTCAGTTGATGCCATAAAAATGTCTCACTGCCCCTGATATATAAGAAAGTAAAGTTTGTAGATAAAAGATTTCTTTATAGTAGTTACGGTAGTCTCTTAAATTTTGTTTTGCAACTTTTAGGGCCTGTCCCACCATTGGCCTATAGAAGATAGCTTAAAAATGACGTCACTGTCAGATAAGGGAACAAATCCTATATTTCAATCACACATTTTACATGTTGGATTGTTATCAAACAATTTACAATCTAGTGGAACCGGCCCTTAATGTTATCGTTTGAATTTACTACTACGTTGCTCACTAAAAACTAGAAATAAAATAAAATAAATTGTTATTATGACCTTTGAATAACAATTGTTTTTGGTTAAATAACATCGATCAGTAATACTCGTAACTTAACAATTTCTCGAAGTTTACTAAAAAGGAATTAAAAGTTGAATAAAAGTTATTAGTCTCATCGATGTATCACAGGTACAGTTAACAAAAAAACAAACTAATGAAGTGCCTTGGGACCAAAATTTGAAAATGAATTTTTAAGTTGTTAATGTGGGATATAATATTGAAGCTTGATAGAATTTCATGATATTTTAAATGTTTAAACCCACGATCGAAACATTACTAGTCCGTCACCTTCTGATACTGTAAGATTCCTTTCTTATTCCATTTTTACTTAGGTAGCGAGTCCCGTTAAAAGACAAATGTTATATGCGGAGTTAACGAGGCAGCATATAGGAACTCAAATATATAATGTTTGCGTAACTAAGCTTTTGTGTGAATAACTGATAGGAAACTTGAACGTTGAGTTTCAACATACCAATTACTGTTGCTGTGTGGAGTAATTTATTTCGGAGCTGAAACCCCGCAAATTTGCATTTAGATTTTCAGTTGCCATCGATAAAAGCCGCAACGGAATAGTTAATAAGCTTGTGTGTTGTGTCATACGAGTATATTATTATTTAACTTTGGTTTTCACTGACGATGGATGTATTTATTTATATCGAAATGAAAATATACCGTCATTGGGAACACATATAAAAACCTACATTAATATTAGTCGAGAAAGTATGTAGATATAATGTTCGTAAGATACGGGTTTCTTACCACGATTGAATTATTTTAGCTCCCGATTTTCAGCACAGTTGCATGCGCCATGTTCACGGGTTGACTGAAGTGATGCGGTAATGTGAAAAAAGTGTGTGTTACGAACATTATATTTGTAAAAACCACGACAGTTTAAAGTTATATAAGTATGTAGATCATTGCCAGATTGCCCTTTAAATGCATGACGATGAAACTATGAAATTAATTGAAGGAAGAAATAAATTGAATAAAACATGTATCATCCTTCAACTTTCTTCTGCTTGAAGTCGTTTTTTTTTTAATTTCCGGAAATTTTTCAACTATTCTTGTATTTGTTACTGTTAAATTAATTTTTGTAGTGGATTTTTCGTCAAAATAAATATCCAACAGAACGCTTTTTAATAACACGGATGCAAAATAACGCGGTTTTAATTTCGTTCGAATTTCCATTCCGATATATTTGTACAGGAAGTACTGGCGCCGACGATTTAATGACCTTTTGGTGGCTCTGATGGCACAATTTGCAATTTGCGTAAATTATCGTGAAAATACATTTTCATTTGGTTGGTATTGGATTTGGCCAACATTGGATATAATTCCAATTGGTGATTTGGATTTCGTGAAACTATTTTTAAATGATGATACACTGATTTGGGAAATAAATTATGTAGATACAATTAATTAATGTTGAACTTAAAAAACAGCTTTTTATTGTATTTACCAAAAAATCATAATAATTTTAAAAACTAATTATTACCCCGTTCATAAACAAAATCAGGTCATTTACAAGGAAAAACTAAACTATACCAATATTGAAAAAGAGGAGACATTTGTAATGTTGTATTTTTGTATTGTATTGAAATAACTCATAAACTACTGGGTCGATTTCAAAAATTCTTTCACCATTAATTTTCATTAGTACATATAGGACGTGTTTTATTATTTTTTTAACTTTACGGGGACAAAGTTGCGAGGAACAGCTAGTTTATGAGATAAAGCTAGCTGATGCGCTATTAAATTTAAGTACAAGACATGAAGACATTATGAAAAAACAAATGAAGTACGTAACGAATTTAATAATTACGTTTGCATTACAATTTATGAGGCATTTGATGTAATGCATTGCTTAAATCTCACGCTGTAACGCAATATTAACATTTTTACCTAATCTGTCATCCATTACACTTTCGATATAACTTTATTGTCACACTTTATCAGTGATACCGATTAGTGGAAAGGACGATTGGCCGTATCAGTTCATTTTCACTGTCAAGAGCTTTATTAAGCGTCAAACTCAACAGACGGACAATACCTGCCACCTACAACCGAATAAAAGAATAGTGCAAATATTGTTTATTATGCAAATCGTTCGAAGAGATTTTAACGAAAAACAGACCTCAACGCTATCATCTTTTGTAAGGTGAGGAATTGTTTTATGATTTTTATATACTACTAGTTTTCGCCCGTTACTCTGTCGGCGTGGAATTAAGAAAAACAAAAGTGAGTAGCCTCTGTGTTATTGCAGATTATCCTCTATATCTGTGCCAAATTTCATCGAGATCCGTTTACCCGTTTAGGCTAGAAACTCTAACAAACATCCATCCATCTGAACTTTCGCATTTATAATATCAGTAAGATTATGTAGTTTACGCATTTGGTTCAGTAATAACATATTTCATAAGTAAATTTTCTATACGATTCAGGTTTAAAACTAATTTACTAAAGTGTATTTACTGTTTTTTTTTATTATAATACTAACTGTTACCGTGCGGCTTCATCCGCATGAAATTATGAAAATTTTATTTTGTTGTTTACATTTGTCAAATTATCAATAGCAAATGTCAAAATGACACGACATGACAAATCTTGGAAATTTTGCTTCCTTGATGTTGGCAGCAACTTATGGTCTCTTTCCCACATTAGGGTTTTTAACCAAAATATTTACCCCCTAATTTTAATGTCGTCAAAATATATAGCCTAAAGCGTAACGTAAGCGTGGGGCTTATTATTAAAAAAAGATTTATTCAAAAATATGTTGTAACTGCTGACATCTTAGATAACAAAAAAGTGTGTGTTTACGCTTTATTATAATAGTATAGATATACAGTAAGGAAATCTTAAAATTACTTTAAGAATTTCGTTTTAGGAATACATCATGCAGCCGTGGTTGGTTACGATTGGTTGTTCAAATAATATTCGGTGTAATAACTGTGGTCAGTTTCATTCTGATTGTCTTTATGGCGTTCCGTGGTCCAATAAAAAGACCTCCCACAAATAGTAACCGGTGTAAATCAGACAGTTGCAGAGTGGTATGCTATAATGCACCTTATTATAATAGCCACGAAGAAGACATTATAAACATTGCAATGGTAAGCTATAAATTAATAATACTAATGTTATTAAGAGAATATCCATTTATAGAAGTAATATTTGTTTCTCAGGATACGGAATCTAACTGCGAAAGAATGTTTTTGATGCTCAAAAATCCGATGTTCACTAATTCTACGCTACCAATGAATTGGTTATCTGGTTTGAGATCTAAAATACGATCGTTGACTATTATCGGAGGAAACCTAAAACACATACCGCCCAACGCTTTTATCAGTCCATTCGCCACACATGTAAGGACTCTGTGTCTAGAGGATGTAACATTGACCACTTGGCTTCCAGAAACTTTTATAGGTCTCTCTAATATTCAGGAGCTGTTAATTAAAAATACTGAATTGTTAACAATTCATTCAAGTGCATTGAAAACGCTTGACGATACGTTGACAACTTTAGATATCAAAGCGACTAACGTATGGAATCCTATAAACGTTACTGGTTCAGCAAATCCACAGAAACTGACTACTGTTGATTTTTCTAGAAATATATTTATAGATATTTTAAACAAAAATAGCTTTTCAAAATTACAAAACTGCAAAATGTTATATTTGAATTCATGTAAAATCGCAGTAATTTCTAACGGTACATTCGATAATTTGATGAACATAGAGATTTTGTTTTTAAATAATAATTATATCCATACAGTACCAACTGGTTTATTTAGTCAAATAATCGCTCTAAAACATAAACCAAGAATCAATTTACAAGACAATCCTTGGATGTGTGAATGTACGATAAATGATTTAAGGAAATTGCACAAGCATGATTTATTAATAGTGGAACCCTCATGTTACTATCCCAAAGAAGTTCGCGGATTAACGTTTTCCGAATTTGAAAATTATTGTACAACCAATGATTCAAAAACACAACTTATAATTCCTGACAAAGACGTTAATGAAAACTTTAACAGAAGCAATCAAACATTGAATATTGAAAATAAACTATGCGAGTATGACGGTCAAGTGAACTATGAAATTACACCTTTAGTTTCAGCCTCTAATAAATATCGCTGTTCTAGCTTTAGAGTTCAGAATTACAAGTTAATACCGACAGTTTCTAATAGCTTATGTGATTTATTTTCGACGGACAATAAATGGCTCAAACCAGTATTTTATTCGAGAAGTCAACCAAATTCAGTTATCGAAATATCATCATATGGACCTTCTGACTATGGTTTACTTTGGTATAGAGCCAACTGCCCTCGTGAAATATACTGCGTTTCCCGTTTACCGCAAGTACTGAGACTTTTTAACGTAAATAAAAACAATCAATACATATTTTGCCCGTTTTCTAACAAAACGGTAATGACTAACGAATGTGTTGTTTATGATTTTTCAAAATCTCAGCAACCGTATTACAGGAATCCTATCTACTTATTGTGTACGATAACCGCTATAGTTTGTCTTACATTCGGTGCTCTTGGAGTTTACGGTCTAATTCGTAAAAACCCAGGACTACTGAAAGGAAGCAAGAGAGTTCTTTTTGTGAAACATAAGCAAGTTGATGCATTGGTGTTACCACCTAAAGTACCTATAAGAAATAACTTAATGAATGAAACACATTTGTCAAACAGTAATAGGAATATATTTATTATGTCACCTAATTTGAACAATTTACCGATGAAATTTACAAGAATGAATTCGACTAGAAGCACTAACAGTAGTAACCCCAGTTACATTTCGGCGATACAACCGAATGAGGATCAATTAGCGCAATGGCGGCTGAAGCACTACTTGGAAAAAGAGTCTACTGTTCATTCTCTTGACTCCTGTACGTCATCAATTTCTTGGATTTACGACGCTGATTCTGTACCTTATTTTCAACTTGATTCTAAAGAACCTATTTATGAGATTGTTAAAAAGAATTGAACTCAACAAAAGTTCTTTTCTATTTATCTACAGATACTTTCGCAGCTGTTTACACTTTAAATTTACATCCATAATAATTTAATTAATTGCTTTTGAGATATGTACATTCGTATGTATTAATTTAAAACTACATCAACAAAATATACGTATTTTTGTAAGTCGTTTTTAATTTAAATTGCCTTCGTCATTTTCAAAACAGTTACAATATAGTTATTTGATTATTTTGCTAGATCATATATATGCAATTGTGTAACATTAGCGGTTGTGCATGACATTTGTTCAAGTCGAGTATGTGACAGCCACAAACCTCGAGTACATTGTCACAACGATGACGACACGATACCCTCATAATACTAATACAGCTGTTTGAGACGTTTGAGCTAAACTTACGGGTATTATCTGAACCATTAGTCATATGCAGGGCTGTATTACGTGTTAATCAGCTGTAACTATGATTTACTTTCCTACAATATATAGCATGATATGAGCATGTTATGAGGTGGGATGAATCGAATGTTACAAGTAGAACGTTAGTTATGAGTGTGGAGGTACACCGGTAGAGGTAGACTTAGAAAGAGTCGGATGGATTGCGTGAAAGGTGACACGATCAAAAAGGAAATGATGACTGAGATGACGTATGATAGAGATTTGGAGGACCAAAACCTGTTGCACCGACCCTACGGTAGTATGATAAGAGGGATGATGATGATTCTAGAACACAAATTGTGGTATGATTCGTTCCTTGGAGTTCCCCAGACCCTGTTTAGTGACTCATGCATAGCAAAAGGGTTAAGACTTTTTTCTCTTGGAAGTTATACAATGATGGTTTAATACAATTATACTTTTATAGTTCATATTGTTACTGAAAAATTGTACCTTTAAAAGAGAAGTTTTGACGCCAACATTAGTTGGAAACGAACTACAATATTATTGGCGCACTCATCAGTTTTCCGGTGCACCAAACAATGAATTTGGCATCGCATTCTTACTAGAGACAGCTGCTATTTTATTCTATAACGTATGACAGGAAACAAAAAAGTTGGTAATGAAGTGTTTAACATGAACAAAATGATTGCAGCCTTATTTGTGATCATGCTATGAGTCTTTGCATGTAAGAAATTCTAGATGAATCTTTGTTAATTGTGTAGCAGTCTTTGACAGAATTGTTGATTCTAACTTATTTTTAACGATATTTTCTCAAAGGTGATGTTCAAATCCTGTTTTAACTATTATAATTTGTATCATAGATCAAGTAGAAAGATAGAAAACCCGTAGATTAAGGTTATTAAAGAAGAAAAAAAATACTGCATTATTGTACTGTAGGTACTATTAATAACAATTATTTGTGAACATCAGTAAATGAGATGATGAGATTAGATAAAACGTTAATTGGATATGGACGTGGCCCTACGTCCGCGTCGAGTGCCTTGCCAATTTTAATTGATGTGCTTTTAAAAGGGGGCAAGAGGCCTTGATTGTAACTGATGTTCATAATTGCAGATGCCTAAAAATAAATAGAATTGTATAAGATATCTGAAAAGTGACTTAATATCAGTGCGACATATAAATATCAAAAAAAAAAAATAATAATAATTTCAAATGAAAACGACAAACAAAAACAATGAATACAGGGTGAACATAGCTAACTACGAATTTGGACAGAATTTAAAATCTGAGTCGGCAAGTTTTCGTTCAAAAAATTGTAACAAATTTGTATTTTTGTATGTATTTGGTTCACGTAAAAACTACTGGGCCGATTTTAAAAATTCTTTCACAATTAGAAAGGTAATTTATCTACGAGTAATTTGGTTTTGGTTTTTAATATTTTTTTTAATTCCACGCGGGTGAAGTTGCGAGCACCAGCTAGTACTTAATATCTAGATTTTAGTAATAATTTGATTGTGAACCGTTACATTTCAATAAGTCAATGTTTAAAAATAACAATGTAATTTTGTCTGTCTTCCGGCCACTTCTTGTGAATGAGAAAAGTTATAATATTTCAAAGGAATGACATTTGAAACTTATCTGGCGGCTCTCAGTCACGTTCCTGCTTTACTATTGTTTGCAGATCGCTGTTTCTTTATAAAATACAACTGATCATAATATTGCTGCTTGTTAAAATATTCCTGGATATCGGATCACAAATACATGTTTTATTTTTTAACTCAGTTGTTTTTATTTACTTGGACATTTTGAAAATCTGAAAGTACTGATTTAAGATTAGAAAATCTATTGCATTATGACAAGTATACATTTTGAAATAAAAAAAACCGTACCCTACTCCTGTCCTTATTCCGTACCACATGTTGTTCTAGATTTTAATATAATCAATGTTATTTCTTTGCATAAGTGGCTGATGACATTGATTGTAGAAATCTAGATCATTCAGAAGGTAAGTAATCTGTCAGCAACGCGGGCATTAAGAGCACTCGCACACCTTTTACTAAACTATCGCAGAACTGTTTAGTCGCACTTTTATGAGCTTGTATGGAGTTGCGCATGGCTGTAAAACAATCGACAATCGGCAACAGCTGTGCGATAGTTTAGTCCAAGGTGTGTGCGCGCTCTAACAAATCAATATGGCATTAGAGTATGTGCCCTAGAGTAAAACATTCGCTCTCGTTACGTGCAAATTTAATTATCTGTCAAAACGTGACTTATCGGACTGAATGTAGTGGCCTTTAAGTCATCGATTAAAACATTAAGCAATTTAAAGCGCCCTTAAGTAGCTTGATCCTTGAATATTAATTGAGTATAAATTTTGTTAGCTCAAAAGCGGACCGTTGATGGCGTGTTTTGAATAAACGATTAGATTTAAACAAAATCTTTTACCCTTACATTCCCGATTTAGATTACCAATTTTTATATCAACAAAGTCAGATATATATATATCTAATTGTATGACGTGATATTGCAACGCTATACCTAAAAATGTGTGCTCAAAATGTTACAAATGTCCAATTTACTAGTTCTAATGTAATAGAGTGTTTAAGAAAACTTTTGCCAGTTCCGGTCCGTTAACATATTGGCGAATCAATTAGGATTTTTCGCTTTAAACTGTGGCAATAATCCAATACTGAACGTATAATTAATTTGTTTGCAATAAATTAATGACAGCGAACATAAAATAATTAATACTCTAGTTGTTCAAATCACTCCGATTCGATGGTCATATGTAAATAATTATTTCGTGACATGTAAAAGAGTAGACGCCAAGGCGATTGTGTTTGAAATGGCTTGGAAAAATCTGTCCCAAAGCGATGCCGAGCCAAGCTTTGTCAGGCGCACGCTTGCGGCTAGTTGTTTAGTTCGTTCAGTGAAAATGAGACGCCACATCCACTGACACTGAAAATATACCGCGTTCAAGAAAATATATTTGCAGTTTTTCATACTAGAAGTTAAAAAATAATTTCACGTTCTTTTTAGATATTTATATCTTTGATATGGTAAGAATATTGTTTTTGATTGTTTTTTTAAGTCTAGAAAACTGATCGAATAGGAATAACCAGTTTTAATGAACAACTTGTTAGTTGGTCACAGACGCTATTTTAAGTATCGGAAAATAATACGAATATTTCCAAGTAAAATACTTTATCTTGTCAAGTTTTATGAAGTGTGCCTTATATATATTTCAGGAGGACCTTGACAAAGAACAAATCAACAGTGAGTACTTTATTATTTATTTATATCAAGTAACCGAGTAGATATTTTTTTAGCCTTTAGATTTTGTTTTAGTTGTTTAGTAAATTTAGGTTTAGGAAACTGTTTTGATGAAATCGTGAAAAATAACACGACATTATTATTTGCGAAAATAACATAGACAGTTTAAATGACAGAGTGCTCTCTATTTATCGTATTAATTTTGCTTGTAGTTTTGAAGAAAGCTTTTGAAGCATTCGATCAAGAAAAGAAGGGTTGCATCGGTACGGTCATGGTAGGCACAATCCTCGGCATGCTAGGGCACCAGGTATCTGACGAAAGCCTTCAAGAAATCATCACTGAAGTAGATGTTGATGGTAAGTGCCTATTTCCATTAAGTGGTTTGTCGCGCGACTTGTAGTCAGTGGAAATGGGATTGTGTGCTAATGCCAAAGCAAATACAATATTCTAAAATGATTTGTTTTAGGGTCCGGTGAGTTGGAATTCGAAGAATTTGTGACATTGGCGTCAAGGTTTATGGTGGAAGAAGACGCGGAGGCAATGCAACAGGAACTAAAAGAAGCATTCCGTTTATATGATAAAGAGGGTAATTTAAAAAAAAAAATAATTGTGTCAATGATATTAACTAAAAGCTAATACCAGCATTATGCATTATTTAATTATTAGAAGATTAACGCAACTTAAAATTTAAATCTACAGCTATAACAAACCAATCAGGGACTTCTGTATAATATTCGATCCAATTCTTGTGATGTTAATGTTGATGTTAAAATTCATAAAAGCGCAATACAAATACAAACAACCATTACTTTCATAAATTGGTCGTTAATTTCAGTTACAGTCGTGTTTTAGATAAAACCTAATGTTTGTTTTAGTTAGAGTTGTTAGTTTTCTACAATAAACTACAATGATTTACTGCAACTTCTAGAATTGATATAAATAGAGCTTTAGAGCCTGTTTATGAACGCTCTCCTTTTATTGCTAACGAACAATAGTTTAGAGGATTTTAAACCACCAGAACTACTTACCTCATGAAAGAAATTTACTGTCGCAATGAGAATGGGAATTCCATATTGTAGGTTTAGCGTCAAAATTGAGAGTAAGAAATTAATACAACCATTTAATGACTTCGACAGGATAGTAAAGTTGCATATCTACGAATAAATGTTCAACTTAAGATAGCCGTACCAATTCAAATATATGAGATTTTATTTGATGTTATGGTCTTTCAGGTAACGGATATATAACAACTGGAGTATTAAGGGAAATCCTAAGAGAATTAGATGACAAAATCAGTGCGGAAGAATTGGACATGATGATTGAAGAAATTGATTCTGATGGATCAGGCACTGTCGATTTTGATGGTAGATTTATTTCTTTTATTTAATGTAAATAATCTAATGATCTCGCGGAAGATCAGCGCTGGGTAATTCGATCAGAAGCATCCAGCATTCATAGCTGAGCGAGGACTCAATCCGGTCAGCACTGCAATACACATTTTAAATACTTTGTTTGTTCTTTATTACGTGTTTTTTATTCTATTTTTAACTACTTTGTTGTGTTTTTTTTAATAATTACCAATTGTATTGTAGTGGCAATAAGATTAAATGTTATTTGATTTTTATTTTTTGATAATCATCTTATGGATACTGATTCTAAATTATGTTGCAGAATTCATGGAAGTGATGACAGGTGGAGACGACTAAATAAAAACAAAAAACGGTAAAAGGTTACAGTACAAATTCGTGTAACTTTAAAAATAAGGTTCCTAAAGTAAATAAATATGTTTGTGGTAAAAGTGTATTGTTTTCTTTATATCAAAGAATTTTTAAACCATTTGTGTCTATGTGTACAGTATCTTTACTAAACCATAGCATGAAGAGACACTAACAACAAAATGAGATTAGACTTCAGACTTTAAACAATTTAAACTCAAACGAAATATGAAAAATGCAATATGAAAATTATCTTCAATACCAACGGGACCTTTCTGATTTAATAATCAAAGATTCTTTGAATATTTTACATGTATAGCGTCCTGATTGCAACTGCATATAACTCATGCAAGATATTCCTTACCAACGTATGATATTACGTGTAGTTGAATGAAATCAACGCCAATATAATCAAATGCGCTTCAATAACTTATTTAATTCTACATTCAGATGAACTGAATTTCAATGATTTAAATATGGAATTTTATTTCCTCTGAAGATGTTCTATCCTATCTCTAAACTACAAGTTAACTTTGGACAGTTTACTCTTCGGTCAAACTTTTCGTAGAAAATGTGTCTGGCAACTAGCAAACTAGGATTTCATAATAATACTTTTTTAGTACCACTTACATAATTGGAGATGTTTTGATGAATAAATATAGTAAAGTACAAGTAGAAAATATTATAAATCTTACTAATATTATAAACTAGCTTTCGCCCGAGACTCCGTCTGAGTGGAAAAAAAAGCAAAGTAAGTATCCTATGTATTCAAGATTATCCTCTACATCTATGCCATATTTCATCGAGATCTATTCAACTGTTTAGGCTACAAACTCTAACAAACATCCAACCATCCATACATCTAAACTTTTGCATTTATAATATTAGTAAGAAGTGAAACTTTATATGGATGGATGTAATTTTCTTACTACGCATCTCCATAACGAACCAACGAATCTCACTAAAATTTGGCATAGATGTAGAACATAGTCTTGAAGCACAAATAGGCTACTAATTAAGTCATCACCAGCTCTTACACGTCCCCACCGAGGGGCTCGGAGCCTACCCAAATACGGGGTGACTAGGCCATAGTCAACCACGCTGGCAAAGTGCGGGTTGGTTGACTTCACACATATCTTTGAATTTCTTCACCGATATGTGCAGGTTGCATCACGATGTTTTCCTTCACCATAAGAACGTCGGCTAAATTATGTACATATGAAAATTCGAAAAATTGAAAATCACATTGGTACATGGCGGGATTCGAACCCAAGGCCAGTAGATTACAAGTCAAGTGTTCACGTTCAAGTTGTCACTGAGCCACCAACACTCTACTAATTAAGTATTTTTCTATAATTCCGAGCGGAAGAAGCCACGGGCGACAGCTTATATGTAACTTATATTATAAATGTGAAAGTTTAGATAGATGGATGGATGTGTGTTACTGTTTATTGTCTAAACGGTTTAACGGACCTCGATGAAATTTGGCACAGATGTAGAGGATAGTCTGGAACGACACATAGACTACTTACTTTTTTTATCTTGTTATTTTCTTTAGTGTTGTCCACGGGGACAAAGTCGTGGACGATAGTTAGTTGAAAGTAAATATAAAAAGCTTCTATTGTATTTATCTAACTGAAAATTATAGGTTTCATATCCAGTTTCGTCACACGATAGTAGCGTGAAAAGTACTTAGAAAATTTTATTTACCTTTCGCTCCTGAATACATTTACCACTATCCCCGCTATGTCAGCTGTAATACACACATTTACGGCACTTCGGAGCACCGAGGCTCTCAGCCCGGATCATTTTTAAGGGCGAACCCGTGTCTATCTCTCGCTTTCGGTAATGTTGACATTTTTTAGATGTTGTATATGTAAATTTGTAATATAAATTACCCTCACTGTTAGCCTTACTTTAATATTTTTTTACATATATGGGTTCGTCATCAATACATCATGTCCTTATACGCATATAGAGATACAGTATGTACTTTTTTCTTTACATCTCTATCAAAAGTCATTATATGAATTCTTTCTACCACTCGTATGTGATTCATCTTTAAAAATTTCATAGCCATCTCCATAATTTACCTTTTAATTATTACTACTCGTGTGAAACTGAATCTTTAAACTATACTAATATTATAAAGAGGAAAGATTAGTACTTTTGGATTTTTGTATGTATTGCAATAACTCAAAAACTGGACAGATTTCAAAACATATTTTACCATTAAAAAGCTACATATAGTAACATAAGCTATATTTTTTGTTATTTTAAATTTCACGCGGATGAAGTCGCTAGCAACAGCTAGTAAATAAATTCACATTTAGTTCTAAAATCTGCGTACAAATTCAATTGGAGCGATGTGCGGTGTCGACGATCGTTAGATTCAATTCGTTTGCGAATTCATTATGCTTGTTTCTAACGTGGAAACATAACACATGTCGTGCGGAAAGCGGCCTCTTATGACGGCTTAATATATTTCATACACGTTGCAGTGTTAAATGTATTTAATTATTAATTGTACATACAAATATGAATTTTTAAACAATTGTCACTGACATTAAATACGTTTTAAAGTAAACAAAAGTATTCTCACATTAGTATTGGTGTACCAATATATACATATGATCTATCTTATGGAGTAGGTATGTCCAAGTAAACAAGAGCAAAACTAACCCTTATTGTTAAAACGTGTGTTATTACATTATTAAGTCATCTTAATTAAAACTTTTTTTGGTTTAGCTTTACTATACGTAAAATTATAAACCAGTTTTTTTTATCTGACGTATGTTTTAGTTTGTCTAAACATTGCCGATTAGGGCCGCTGTACACGGAACTTCGAGCTATCTCTACCGACAGACTGAAACTGTACGGTTCTAAATAACAATTCTGACATATTATGACACAAAAATATTCGATCTGAGGTGTTGCTCTGCCTTGGTTCGTCCAATGTTTATGATAAGTTATAAAATATTTACAACCATGGATATTCACGAGATAACAAATGTATTTAGATATTTGTTTAAAAATAATCATGTAGAGTATTTTATAAAAATGTGGGTGTTTCTAAATTCGCACACCTTTGACTTAGCACAACTGTTTACTTTCTCTTTGATTCCTATGAGCTAAGAAGGTGTGCACATGTTCGATTTTTAGTTGTGCAACTAAACAGTTGAATTAGCTGCGACAGACAAGCTCAGTGAGGGATTCATTGAGAGGGATTCTCTGGGAGAGAGATCTTCAAAAAAAAAAAAAAGAGAAGCGTTCTTGTTAATTCTTTATTTGAATTTAATTCTACATTCAGGTGCAAATTACTTTAAGATATTCGAAAGGTCTCAAGGAGGTACATTCCTATGTTTGTAAGTTTCCTCGTTATTTGTTAGAAACAAACTTCGGCAATAAATTTCACGACAGCGGTGCTGCGTGGAATAGATTTCTGTCTAGATAAACAGAGGAACTATCGTTTTGCCGAGAAATTATACTTTAAATGTTATCATAAAACGGAAATAGGTAACTGTAAAAATGGCCAGAAACTAATAATTATTAAATATAGCAGCGATAACAATGCGAATAAAACATTATTTTTCATTTCTTCCCTTTTCTATGGGAGTTGGTGACTGATTATTTTGTTCGTGGATAAGACACTTTGTGTATTACGTGCGCACATCTTTGACTAAAACATCGCACAACTGTTTAATCGCGCATTGTTTCCTATGGGCTTATATTGAGGTGCGCAAACTCGATTTTTAGTTGAACAGTTGAAAGAAGAAGCGGAACAATCGACAATCGCAGAACGGTTGTGCGATAGTTCTTGAGCCCGCTTTTAAAAATAGTTGATAATGTTGCCCTTGTTGAAGATTGGCAGCGCAGTGCGACACGCTTCACTAATGGTCGACTAAACGCAAGTGCATCAGATCTTATCGACACACTAACTGATGACTTCAATCAATCATTATTGTAATTTATGTGCAGTCATATGTTCTGTGCAGCCACCGACATATTATTTATGTCAGTGTCCTAATGCGATGATTTAATGCAAGTGACAACATAAAACTAATTAATCTTACTTCCTACTACTATTAGAGTACGTAAAAGATGGATGGATGGATGTTTGTGTAAAGGTATCGGCACAACGAATCGAGTTGAATTTTGGCACAAATGTAGAGCGTAGTCTGGAATCAGGCATCTCTTTTTTTAATTCCGCGTGGACGGAATCGCAGGCAAAAGCTAGTACATATATAATTGCTATATTCTGTCCATATTATACCATTTAAAAATAACCATTAATGCAGATTATTAATCAAAGCGTCGACTAAAGAAACGAAAATAAATAAAGTTAGTCTATATCTAATTTTCATGAATCACTTAAATATTAAAGGTCATCCAAAAATATACCCAGACTAAGATTAATTTATATTAATAATGCTTAATTTCGGGCAAAAGAAAAGAATAAAAATTAGTTTACAAAATAAATAAAACAAAATCTTAAATAAGTCTTCACCTCTTACAATAGATGGCGCTTTGCGTTTGACGTTTCGAACTGTGGCTAATAGATGACGCTAATGTACAAACATAAAAAGTTAATTTTGAAGAGTTAAATAGAAAGGTTTAGGTATTCGAAAATTTAGTTTTAATATAAACAAAATGATAATAGTTAGCAAAATTAATTCATTCCAATGAATACTTGATTTATTTGTTACATTTCAGTTTCAGTTATTTTAGAGTTAATTTTGATTCCAGTAAATTAAACTTGGTTTACATTACAAGAACATTAAAATTAAAATAAAAGGACAAAAAAAAGAAAGTCTCACCGTGACAATGTTTTCACATTGCCGTGACCAGGATTCGAACCTGGGTTACTACGGCCACAACGTAGGGTCCTAACCACTAGACGATCACGGCTATTGAGACATGCACGATTGTTAACAAAATATCAGTCTTATACTAAGAAAATATTTTAATAAAAAAATGCTGATGTATTCTTTCATTGCTCATTTCACCTATAACGCAAAATAAAACTGAAACTATCCGCATTCATATCAG